CATTTAGCATAAAGAAAACTGAAGTAGTGCACGAAACTTGTCCTACTCCGAAGCACTTCTGTGTGGAGAAACAGAAACCACCAGTCAATAAATTTTCAGAGAGACCATTGAAAGTAGAAGACAAAGCCCTGACCTATGTAAAGTCTTTCCCCTTATCTTTGTAGCAAAGTCAACTACAGTGGAACTTTAGATGATGAAATCTTGCATCGGATTGCTAAGGCTACCAGTGCTTTCTGCAAACTTCGCCATCGCTTGTGGAATGAGCGGGTTATTCGACCAGATAAGAAAATTCGGGTTTACAGAGTTGTTGTACTTACCATCCTTTTGTATGGCTCAGAGTCGTGGACTCCATAAAGGTACCATATACGCCAGCTGGATGTTTTCCATAAAAGTTAACCTTCAAGATAGAACATCTTACGTAGACCTATTTAACAGGTATAATATTGGAGGAATCGAGACTTTTCTCATACAGTCTCAGTTACGATGGTCATGTCTTGAGAATGTCTGATGACAGGGTACTCAAGATCCTAATGTACAGCCAGTTAGATCAGGGCTACAGGAATGTAGTACGCCCATGGCTAAGATACAAAGACAAGCTGAAAAGGAACTTGTCAGCTGTCAATATACCACATAACACCCTTGAGCGCTTAGCCTTAAAGCAGGTAGAATGGATATCAACGTGTTTTAGTGGACTCAGCAGTTTTCATTCTGCTTGTCTGAATCATCTTCAAGAAGTGAGAGCAAGATCTTAAAAGTCAGCCAATCTAACAGTGATCTCATCCCACAATCCTCACTCTTGTTCCATATGTGACCTCCTTTGTAAATCACTAGCAAGTCTTAAGCGCCACTTAAGATTATTCACAAAATTTCATAACTAAATCAATTAAGCTGTCAGATCCTCATATGTCGAAACCGACGGGAGAGTTCATTATTATTATTATTATTATTATTATTATTATTATATAACTCTGGACGTTATCAAAGTTGATACTCGTACTTGAAATAACGCTACATTTTTTTGATTTTTACTTTAAACAGTATGTATTACATTTATCGGTCGGTCTATTTAAGAAATCTTAATAAAGAAAGTATTCTCTCCGGCAGGGATCGAACTTGCGTCCATCTTTGTAGGAGAAAACAATGTTTGATCCGGTGTGCTTTATTGTTCGTCAACAAAGAGCGTTACAATGCTGTAAGGATCTGTTTTGCCATTTAAAGCAAGCAAACCAACCCACGGATATTTTTCTGAAAGGATCATATCTGCACAGCTTTGTATCCGAAACGGAAACAAAGCAATTTCCAAAGAATTAATGGAATATATATATATATATATATATATATATGTGTGTGTGTGTGTGTGTGTGTGTAAAGAATTAATGGATTTCTTTTTAAACATACATCTTTATTACTTCAAACGTTATTTTACCAGATACCTGCGTTTCAAAGAGAGAAAACTTTTATGTATTCTTTTTTAAAGTGTATGTTATCTTTATAGATAGATATATAGATATGAATAAATTGAGATAGATAGAGAGAGAGAGAGATAATGAACAGACTGAGATAGATAGATAGATAGATAGATAGATAGATAGATAGATAGATAGATAGATAGATAGATAATGAACAGACTCAGATAGATAGATAGATAGATAGATAGATAGATAGATAGATAGATAGATAGATAGATAGATATGAATAAACTGAGATCGATAGATGGGTTTGAATAAAATGGGATAGATAGATAGATAGATAGATAGATAGATAGATAGATAGATAGATATGAATAAATTGAGATCGATAGATGGATATGAATAAATTGAGATCGATAGATGGATTTGAATAAAATGAGATAGATAGATAGATAGATAGATAGATAGATAGATAGATAGATATGAATAAACTGAGATCGATAGATGGATTTGAATAAAATGAGATAGATAGATAGATAGATAGATAGATAGATAGATAGATAGATAATGTAAACACTCAGATAGATAGATAGATAGATAGATAGATAGATAGATATGAATAAACTGATCGGTAGATGGATTTGAATAAAATGAGATAGATAGATAGATAGATAGATAGATAGATAAACAGACTCAGATAGATATGAATAAATTGAGATCGATAGATGGATTTGAATAAAATGAGATAGATAGATAGATAGATAGATAGATAGATAGATAGATAGATAGATAGATAGATAGATAAACAGACTCAGATAGATAGAAAGATAGATAGATAGATAGATAGATAGATAGATAGATAGATAGCGAGGAGAGGGAGATGTGTTGTGAGCCTGTAAATGGAATGTGATATACTACATCAAAGCCCCCTAAATAAACTACCCACAATCAATAAAAGGGCAGATTTACTGACAAACATGTCGAGAGTGCGTCATCAACGTTTCGACAAATTGTTGATAAATCAACTGGAAAATGACGCCCAACCAATTAATTTTTCTCTTCTTTTAATCTGTTATTCTTTTTTGCTTCAAGGCGTTTCACATTCAATCGAATGCAAATAGTGGCGCCCCCACGTATTCAGTGAGAAAGAGAAAAAAAAACGCACACTCGTGCACAGAGCCGCCAATGTGACGAGCAGCGGCCGAAGAAAACTGAATATATTTCGAATTCGAAGACAAAACAGTGGCCATTGTAAAGCGCATTTGCTTTTCATGGAAACGGGAAATTGATCTCAGCTTTTGAAAATACCTTCAAGGAAAATAATTAGAATTTTTTTTTAATTTTTTTATGAAATTTATATTCTCCTGGATGACAGCTTGAGCGTAATGTATACATACTAGCATAGGAGGTTGTGGAGGGCCATGATCGCAAAAGGACATGCCACTTTGAAAAAACACATTTGTAACTAGTATTCGATATCAAGAGATAGAGGGTTAATCTGTATATCTACAGGGTTATTAAAAAGTAACTCCCTATTTTGTGTATGATAGACTCTCCCGTCTTGTAAAAATTATAGCTAGGCGGGAGAGTCCATTATACATAAAGTAGGGAGTTACTTTTCAATCGTCCTGTATAAATAAAATTATGTGACTTTCGTTTGGCCGTCCGTCACACCCTCTAAAATAGACATACATCGACCTATCGAAACCAAATTTGAGAGTGATGTGCAAACAGACAAGAGGTTCAATGTGCAGTTGGCTTTACTTCCTCTGCTTCTTTTTTCTTCTTCTTCTTCTTCTTCTTTTATGTGCTGTGTCCCTTCAGGAAGTAGGCGATCATGGCCCTCCATCCCCTCCTGACCCTTGTAGCACTTAATAAGTTTTTTCTTTTTGTTATTTTTCCTAGACCCTTTTCTGCTATCCAATTGTTTAATCCCATTAAGTATGTAATGGGTTGCGTTTCCTTGTACCTCTTTCCCTCTATCCACCCTGTGAGTATCAAATTTTCCAAGCCCTCCTTCCTCATTACGTGCCCCAGAAATTTCAGCTGCTTCTTCCTGATGTTAAGTGTTTCTTCTTTGTTTCCATTCTCTACATTACTAGGGTGCTAAAAACCGCGAAGTGGGGGTTTTGTGAAAGTATTTTTCAAACCAATCAGCTTATTCAAATTTCAGTTATCGATTGGTTTGCTAAATTGAACGAAACATAGAATGTGAAAATCTCGACACAAATTTTAACGATAAATTCAACACTAAATACAATGAGGATTTTGACAGGCGTCAGTGCGTTGCAAAAAAATTTATAGTAGCTATAAATACAATGAATTAAATTTGTTCACTTATCTTACAACTGTTTCACTTTTTAGTATAGGGGAAGTACATCCAATTTTCTGCAGACTTCATGGTAACTTTAAATATGCTAAAAAGTGGATTAAATTGAACAATTTTGAGTTTTTTATAACTTGCAATGAAAGAACTAATGGTAGGAAATGGAATATTCAGGTTGTCTGAGATTTTCCTGTAACTGTTACCTTCTTTCCAGAGCTTAACAATCAATTCTTTTTGCGAATTTGTCAATACCTTACTTCTTGCCATGATGAAAACATTCTTGCACGAATATCAGTTACAGAATGTTGTGTTTGCACGTTTTAGTCTAAAAATAACTACTGATAACATTACTGAAACATTCTAAAATATTCCACTTGAATAATCTAAAATATTAAAGCAATATAAAGTGTTAAAATCTGAAATTTGCATTGTACGAATACTTTTTTCACCCACTAAAATGGATAAATAGGATTTATTTCTATTAAATCAATTTTTTTGTTTTCTATGCATATTCAGTTATTATACATCTGTGTACAGTTAATGATATGAAAAGTACGTTTATTGATTAGTTGGCAATACAATAAATTAAAAATTTGTATGTGTACGAATATTTGTTTCCCCCACACAATTGTGTGTGTATATATATATATATATATATATATATATATATATATATATATATATATATATATATATATCGGGTGTAGCAGCAAAATTGTTCAAATTGTGTGACAGCATACGATAACTGTCCATCCCACAAAATGTTTAATATCTAAAAAAAAAAGAAAACACTAAACTTTTTTTTTTCCATGTTTTCAGATAAGACTTTCCGCCATCTTGACACCATTTTCAATAAGAATCTCTGGAAAACCCTTTGAGTTATTCAGCGATGAAGAGAACAGGTTAAAATCGTTTTGTATCTGCCCCACAATGTCTTCCTAACTGAACAATGGTGAGAGGAAAAGATCATCGAGGCCGTCAGTAATGGTACCAATTCATGCAAGGGCTTCCATCTTCAAAGTTCATTAAAGAACCATCAAGAGAACGGCGAATAACAGGAAAATGGATCATCATTTTAACTTAGAACTAAATACATTCTTATTGTTCAAATTTTTATAATCTCGTGGAATTGCAGTAAGGTATCTTCAATCATTTCTAAGACACAACGGTTCAAAGGCGACAGAGTGCGGACATTTAAACGAAGAGATTCACCATCAAAGATGATATTCTATTATGTTGACATAAAAAAATGCTATGCGAAGATAACGGTCGCAGAATAGCAGGCGCCGGTTGCAAATTCATGATGCGGTTCTATGAGGTCACACCACGTGAGAGACCGAAATATTGACAAAAGAATCATATGTCTAGATGCAAAATAATGTGTTGTGACTAATTTGAAATGTAATTTTGTTGAGTGTGGGTTGCTTTGTTTTTATGTAATTGGCCTCCACTATCATAGATAAATACATATATACACACATATATATGTCTGTATATATATATATATATATATGTCTGTATATATATATATATAGATATATATGTCTGTATATATATATATATATATATATATATATATATATATATATATATATATATATATATTTAAATATAAAGTGAACAATGAAGTCAACACTCAGAGGTCAAAGACTGTTTCATGCTAAACGCATCAGGCCTGATGATTGTGCTTAGCATGTAACAGCCTGTCGCCTCTGAGTGCTGACTTCAATGTTCATTTTTCTATTTACATACGCTCTATCTCTGATATAGAGCAAATATATCCCATAAATAAAGCATATCTTAAAACTATATTTCTTCATATTTATGTATTTATGTATGTAACAGAGTGGACACAGAAGTCAACACTGATTGGCGACAGTCTATTTCATGTTTGAACTTGATGTTTCAATCATGAAAATTTGCATTTAAGCTTGAAATAGACTGTCGCCACACGCTGTTGATCCCAGTGACCACTCTTATATTTATATTGATCTAGAACAGGTAAAATACTTATTGTTATAATGCTACATCTTTGTGACTGAAAGACAATTTCAAATTTGATCTCGGACTCTAAGCGAGGTTCGAACATCGACAGAAATTCTATAGTTGATTATGGCGTTGGGTATAGTATATCAGGTCCCTGGGTAATTATGAGTTCAATCCCTGACAATGATAGTGCTGAAAACTTACATATTCTGGTTCAGTGAAAGATATGGACAAGCGACAGAAAGGTGAGTAAGTGATGAATATTAAATGATATCATCTAAACATGGAAAGAAGAATTCGAACATTCTAATGAATGGAATAAAATGTTCGGTTTGAAAATCTGAACATGTTACCCTGGACGATTTGCTTTGGTTTATGACATATCAAACAATTCCAAATTATTTAATGCCAAATTCTATCGTAATACAGGGGTCGGCAACCCTTGTCATGCGTGCCAAACATGGCACACCGATGATTTGTTTCTGGCACGGGAAACTTATTCATTACATTGCCTTTTATTCTTTTCCTCTTTCATGTATATCATTAAATGGTGTATTTTTTTATTTTCTTCCTTTTACAGATTATCTAGAAAGTCACAATCATTAGCTAAGAAACATTGTCATTCAAATGAAGAATATATTAAAGAATTTAAAGAATACTCGACTGGAAAATGTGGTATGATTAATAAAGAAAATAAAGCCTTAAGGATTTTCTGTTTCGAAACAATCTTTTGTAGGACTTCTGATAAGGGACAGTTTGAAAATGTTCATAAGAACTTAAGCAATAAAACTGAAGAAAAAAAAAAAAAGAGAATGAATTTCTCGTGAACTGAGCAAGACAAAAAAAAAAAAAAAACTGGCTGGTACTTTTATGAACTTTATTTCGGGTAGGCTCACTTCCAACTTAGTTACCGCTAGCTTTAAGATTTCAAAAAAATTTTCTTGGCACGTAGAAAAAATTTTGTGTCAGAGCTTTGGCCGGTTTTGGCACGCACTCTCAAAAAAGGTTGCCCACCCCTGGTGTAATAGATAAGTAGTCATAAGTTTATGTTTGGACAAAAGCCAAAAACGTAGACATAGTTTTGGTTTGCATGAGAGTTAAAAAGTTATAAATACGTATAGTAAACAGATGGTCCATTTTTCTGGCTTAATCTTCTGCACACGGATGTAGTCGGCGTATTCTTCATCCCTAACCAACTGGACTGTTACCGAGTATGCAGGCAAATACCTGAGGAATACCGAACTGCGCAACGGCCGAAAAGTTGTGAGTATAACCATGGCCAGTGTATAGGTCTCTTTCCCCCACACCGAATCTACGATAGCACCCCATACTCTATCTACAACTCAATATTCATAAGGTAGTAAATTTTATTGTAGCCTAATTATGTACAATAATGGATCAGATGCAATATAGGTGAACAATTCAAGTAGAAACATTGAAAATAAATTCAATGTATCTAAATACAAAATTAGAGACATGTCATAATAGATCATTCCATCTTAAATAAATCGAGAATGTTTTACGGCAAATTTTAACATCAACTTGAGATTCTTCTTGTTAAAACGTTGAATAATTTTAACACATTCAACACTATGGATAAAAAAATAGCTAATTTTATGTAGTGCTTTATAAATATCTATATCTAGGGCCGGGCAAGAGTCTCGTGCCCCCACTGAATCTATACCTGCCCCGACTGTATTATATCTCAATTTTCATAAGGTAATAATCATATAAAATACAAATTTTATTGTAACCTAATTATATACAATAATGGGTCATATGCAATATAGGTGAAAAATTCAACTAAAAAAATTGAAAATAAATACAATGTATCTGAATATAATTTAAAAACATGTCATAATAGATCATTCCATCTTAAATAAATCAACAATGTTTTACGGCAATTTTTAACATCAACTTGAGATTTTTCTTGTTAAAAAAGTTGAATAA